GTTTACGGGGTCACAACGCGGAAGCCAGAAGGAACAAGACCAAGAAGACGTCCGGCAAGACAGCCGTGGATCCGGTAGTTAAAAACGATCTTAAGCGCCTATAGGGATCAGGGGCGGAGAAAGACCAGAGACGTGCGAAAACGCATAGTGAAAAATGCATAGTCACTGCAATGTACACTAGTAGCCGATCATACGAAGCCGTCAGTATAGTACACAGAGCCGAGATAGTAAATTCGACGATGAGGGGGGGGGGGAGTTACTAGCTCGAAAAATAGAACCCTACCCTATTGAAACGTCCCAGCTTGAGACACGTTACAGTTTGAAAACCGAAGCAATAGAGTTACAATTTGCGTATAGCGCATTGCCGGCTCACTGTGTGGGCTCACTATACGGAATCGCTGAAATTGTTTTTTCATTAACGATAACCGAACTACCATTTTTTTAATAAAAGAAAACCGACCGGTACAGTACCCGAATCGCCGTGTGACAAACACGCGCGGTTCGTTTTATCGGTAAAACACTTATCAGTAACATCATATCCGTATGGTAATAATGCTATAGACGCGCGCCCGTATTGTACAGTGGCTTTAGGTTTCTGAACGGAAATTACATCGTCGCTCGGCTACGAAATGATACAAAATTAAATCGGAACATCTGCGCCGTACTACGGCACAATGTATACGTACACGTACAAGGCCGGCCGTCATTCATAATATTGACTGAAACATAACGTAATAATGTAATATATATTATCCGGCGGTCGTATATACGTTTATACGCCTACTGCTCGCCGCGACGTCGAAAATTACCTACTCTCGAATCGTATTACGTTTTATTATGCTAACAAATTGATTGTAAGTGGAACGGACAAAGTATCCTTTGTTTTATTATGTTATTTCCGACGACGGCGATGAGCGACGACCGCAATCGTCGTCGCAGCTTTAATAGAATCACCACCGCAATAATAATAACAATAATAATAATAATAATAATAATAAAAATAAAAACGATAATAACATTATGCGGTCAATCATTTTTTATTAGGACTAATTTGGAAATACACGGGCTGCGCGTGGTTAAAGAACGAAAACAATCGCCTCCCTTTGTGTGTTTTTCCGATAATGCATATTACGTGATGATATTTTTTTTTTTTTTTTTTTATGTTTTATACATACGCGTCGTACAAACTACAAAGTGTACAAATTTACATCAGATCGAGTGGAAAAATACGAGCCGGCTACGAGTTTTTAGGAGGGCATAAAAAAAAAAAGAAACTTCCGGTGTAAAATGAATGAAGAACAAAAAATGTTTCGAACAAAGATTTTTTTTTTATTTCTATTATTCATTCAGATTACGATTATACCGAAGAAGCTACATAGTAGTTTTATGAAAATGTGTTTATCATTTTTTTTTTCGCACTTTTACCACTTTTTCGGTTAGTAAAAACGTTCCGATTCGTCCATGCCGCACCTCAAAAGATGTAGATTTTTCGGCCGATGATAATTTGTTTGAATATATTTTCAAGACTTCTGACGGTTTTCACTAAAGATTTAATTGATTTATGGGTTGACTTTCTGCAGCGTATACAAAAGAGAAACTAACCCGATTAAACGCTATTACATTTCCAGTTTACTAGATTTTCGCTCAAAATCGTTTTTTTGGCTGCTAATGACTTATCGTTACTTATTATCGGTAATTAAATAAACTGAACTACCCACCCTATAGGTAACCTCCAAATCGTACAAATCTATAATGCAAATGGTGTATGTCTGGCTTTGTATTTTGAACAAAACCCAAAAGTTCAATCGAAATCGTTTTTTCATGGGAAACATTTAGGAAATTTTTAGGAGTTTCCATGTAGTAGCTATTTTTGATTGAATAACCGGCAATTTTTCGTACAATGTGTGCGTTTTTTTTTTCGGTTTACCTCGAAAACGAGGGGAAAAACACCACTGATATGACACTCTGTTCAGAATTGTTTTTCATTAGAAATTGATTATCGTTGCGTACAGATATAAATTAAATTACTCTACAATGCATATTAATATATTATATCCATCCCCACTCCTATTTCTCTTCTAAAAACAGTGGTACACCCGCCAGTATCATCAGCCTTTTTTTTCAGTAAGGAGACCTTGTACTTTTCGGACACGCCTCGTAAGTTTTTAATTAATACCGGAGTGTAGCGCATAAAATATATAATACGACCGGATTGAAAGTATATTTTTGTCAACGCCGACGTCACATAGTTTTAATTTATAATATTTGCTTATTCGAAGTCTCGCGTTTAGAACTATTCTACGGCCCGTGGCCTCATTACGAAACGCTAAATACGAGCCACCGGATAATAAAATAATGATATTTATAAATTATATGTTGCGACGTCCCGTCGACCCGGCGCGCATCGTAATGACATCGCGAAGACGTCATCGTCGTCCACGTTTAGAAACGAATCATCACGGACACCGTGTGCCGGTCGTCATTTAAACGATTTTCCTCGTCTGGTTTCCGTATCCGACGATGATCGACGGTGTCCGGATTTATTATTATACTGATATTAAACACACCGTAAATTACACATTGCCACGCGCCCCGTCGTAATTTAATGTTTGTTGCAGTTATCCAACGCCGGACGCACGATGGCGAAAATGGTCAGCGAATGGAGTAGCGCACTGAGTTCCATTCGCGTTAAAAGGGCCTAAAGCCGGCGCGTTTCTGGCTCAAAACCATGCTTTACGTGAAACTCTCATGCTCCGTAGAGTTGGCCGGTATTCTTTTGTCGGATAGACGAAGACGTCCTACAGCTCGCACTGAGTTCCGTTATTCCCATCCCCGCCAAATAATTTCCCTCAATAAAACGACCGCATCCCTTCCCCCTATATGGGAATCAGGTAGCAGATCAGCGACCAGATTTTACTTTTAAGTTGGCAATCGAAATGTTAAAAATCATTTTTATATTTTTCCAAAATTAAAGTAAATATGAAAAACCGGGCCGGTTTACTTAGGGTAAATTTTTCTAGTGATACCCTTTAGTTTCAGACTTCGAAGTTCGGGGGTACGTTTTAGTTACTGTCATCGTATGAGATATTTTGAATGCAAACTTTAAAACTCGAATTAGTTTTGTTACGAAAAAAACTTGGTAATACATAATCAGACTATGTTCGTTATTTTATTATTGCTAAACAGACATATGTGTGGGTGTTTCGAGAAGGGAGGGTTTAGTTTATTTTTGAATTCTATTGGCATCATAAAATGTTTATGGACAAATGCGTGTGGGAGAAAAAAGACATTTCGAAAGTCTTGTCCGAGAGTTTGATCGGGTTTAATTAGTTCTCGGGAGAACACATCCAAATTTCCGGTAAAAATATAATCCCTCTTTGAAGTTCTTCCCACTTTAATCATATATACTCAGCTGCAATGTACAACATAATATTATAAAACGTCCGAGGAACATCAAAGCACGAGGGATTTCTATAATTTGATCGATCGATCGTCGAGTCTAATGAGGAACACACGCTAATAGTTCAGCACAAGAAATTATCGGATATTGCAGGTTTTACAGGCGCGCGATTTTCACACGGAGTATTGAATTTCCGTCGGACGGTCGTCGTCTGCGCGTGCGCAGTTAAATATAACGGCAACGCGTCGTCGGTAAAAAGGAGATGCATGGAAACAAAAAAAAAACAAAAAAAAAAAAAAAAAGAAACACGGTTAAGGTCGTTTAAACATAGCCTATAGACGACAATTTTGTGTATTTTCATACAGTATCCCGATTTGGCCGTCGGTCGTCGGCACACATCATCGTCGTACAATTATAAAATACGGTTTTCTAGTCAAAAATAACTATACGTCCGAACACTGCAATATTATTTTGGGAGAGGGGCCGGGAAATAAATCTTGAACTTTTAAAAACAAATTGTTACCTATATATATATAATATTATACTTAACTTTTGGACTTTGCCCATTCCCACTCCCCATCAGTTAGAATGATACTGTACATAAAATATTTAATATTTTGTTACAAAATCGACTATTCCAATCGTTGATTTTCTAATGGATACACTGCAGTAAGCGAAATCTTACTCTACTGGGCGTCTTACACAATTAACCGTGTATCTGTAGGGGCGAAGAAAATCTCTTTAAAAGGCGCCTAGTGTGTGATAATAAGGCATTTATAACTACAAATATAAAAATTACGTTTTTGAAAATTTACGTATGGTTAAAGGGGTAATTTAAAAAAAATAAATGACTTAAAATTTGTCTGAATATTCGTACTAATAACTTAACTTTATTCAACTTAAAATTAATTTATATCTATACATGTTAAATTTTAACATTGACTTAGATTGGTTATTTTTTTTTCCAGAATAACACTTTGTGAACCTAAACTAACGATTGAGAAAAAAAAAATCGCTGTTAACCTTGGTACTGATACCCCTCAGACCGTTCGCGTCGTTCCGTATATACCTATACTATTATTTATGATGTTAAATTTTAAATCGAACAACACGCGCCCATCATCGGCTATAATTAGACGCGAATTCGTCAGCGCGATATACCGCGGCAAGATGATTTTATACATCACTTCTCTTACGTTCAAAAAGGTTTTTTTTTTAAATTTAAATTTTATTTAAATATTGACAGACGAACATATATTATATAGCGTGTAAGTGCACGAGTAATAATCGCGATTTTAAACGCCTCCCCCTATCCCATCGAAAAGCACGAACGAGAATAATGTATTTATGACACGCGTATCGGTTCTCAGTGATTTATCATAAAATATACCGAGACGACCGTTTTGGCAACTCGCTCGCGGTAAACAAAAAAAAAAAAAAAAAACAATAATAATACATCACGGGTATTTTTAACTCGACGAATGCCTCGCCGATATTGAAAGGCTGCCAGATTTTTTTTGAAAAAAAAAATACATATATATGTATGTAGCGATATGTAAGTAAAAGCTTTCTACAGAAATATTATCGGCCGGTTATTACTTTTGCGTATTCAAAATATTAGTTATCTATTACGCGAATATACAGCAGCGGTCGGTTTTATTACACGATGCGGATTCTTGGCTTTTTAATTTTCCGCGATCGACTGAGAAAATGTCGCGTAGCCGGAAAATGGGGAGGAAGAGGGGCGTAATTTTTTTCCGCAAGAAGAAAAGCCAAAGGCGTAGCTAGACATATTTTTCTAGGCGGGACAGATAAAATAATATAAATATTTGAATAGGAAAGGCTATACTTATACAAATTTTTGATTTTGAAATTGTATTAATTTTCGTAGAAAAGTGGGTAGGCCCGGGCTTACCAGGCTTACCCGCCTTTAAAAACATCAGTGGCTTTCATCAGTGGCGTAGCTGGCGAGCTACGCCACTGATGAAAACGTAGGAAAATCGGGACGATTTACGCGGGTCAATAACGGTTTTCGTTGTTTTCGATTTTATTTTATTGTTGCGTAATTCTGTTTGAAACATACGCAGAGACCCGAACTATTCACAGAACGCTTGGTATTATAACGTTTTCTAGGCGTGGTAAAATTTTCAAAACATTTAGATGATTTCCGAGCTCGTGATGGGCATCTGACATTTTCGAGTTTTTTCGGTGTTATGCGGATAAAATCGTTTTACTCGGGTAGAAATACTCGATGATTAGGAGTCGAGTGAGAAACTTTTCTTATCAACTGATAAGCTGTCGTTTCGTATCGAACTGCAGTGGCGCTACAACCGGGGTGGATGACGGTGTCTAACATCGGGACCCCAAGGCTCAAAGGAGGCCCTATCGTAGTTGTAAACTGGAAGGGTGTTTTTAACGCAATAGATTCAAATTAAATCTGCGATCATTAATCATTGTTTCTTTACAATTTATGTTGCGCAATTTGTGTAATGTTCATTATATTCTAATTTGTTATTATTACAACTTAACTGTGTAACATGCTCGTATTATTATTCCGCTGATAATGAATACAAATTAACTAGCGCGTTTAATGACAAGTAGTCGGTATTAGAAAAAAATATTCCCAAGAATAGGCGCCAGACTGGCCTTATCATCGGGGTCCCGATAGTTACACTACCGGTGTTGAACTCTATGCTATTATCTTAATTCGTGTTGGTAATACGTTATTTATTTATGATAACAAGCTTACGCCCACACGTCAACATAATAACAAGTTATTCAGATTCATTACATCGGAAGAAAAATTATAAGTGAAGCATTAGAATATATATTTTGGTTCGAAGGGGAGAACAGTGTTGGTTTAAGATACGGAAAATATCAAGAACAAAAGAAGAAAGGGTTGGGATTGGCAGTAGTCACGAGTCTCACTGTAGATATCGGTTGAATAACACTATCCACGTAACTCCTATACGTTCCCGACTTTCCGCGTACAACAGCGGTGCAATTTTTTTTTTTCCAAATACGTCGTGCTATACGCTCGCCGCTCGCTGTGCGATGGCGGCCAGCGTGTATAATACTACTAATAATAATAATAAAAACGATTCGAAACGCGTATAAAAATATTACATCGGCGGCGGCGGAAAAAAATGAAAAAAAAAAAAAACCACCGTATACATACTACACCGACCTTGGAGATAATTATTTTCATTACCGAGAATGTATTATAGGCGTTAGCCGCGCGAGCTCCGCGTGCGCATCGCGATCGTAAGTTTGCACGGGTCGCCTCTGTGTATACGAATATAATAAAATGAAAAAAAAAAAAAAAAAAAAAAACCCCGGGGGGTTTTTCGAAAAAAATTTTGCATTTTTTTTTTTTTTTTTTTTTAAAACACATTTTTCGTCGTACGTACACGTCATGTAACAGTATAGTGTTGTGTCGTTACGACACATTAATGAAATCGAAAAGAGTTGATTGTAGTGTATAATGTATAATGTATGCGGGTATAAGTGATGGCAAGTATTGGCGAGTCGAATTAAAATATTTCTCTAAGCCCCGCTTTACTCTCCCCTATTTCTGCCTGTGCGATATTATGTTATATAGGAACGTTTTGTTTTACATACCGTCAAAGAAATGGTAACTGTAGGTACGTTTTTTCACCGACAATATCGGTTTCACATCAGGAAACAAGAACCCCCCTGCGATATCCGCTGTTCCGTGAGATCCTCGATTTATCGGCCAATAAACGATATCGGTTCACGCCGATACTCATACTACTGTATGTTATGGTTTCAATGCCATCTTATTCGCCGACATTTTCAAAATATCACCCAAATTATCGACAATATACGCATATTATAGGTATACGATTGTAAGATTTGTCGAATTTAAAACGGTATACATTTTCGAATTTATCGACTGTTGACATATTCAGTCCCAGCGTAGAAGGGCTTTGTTCAATTTTCGTTTTTCTATAATTGTGTCTTGTGTGTAATTTGTAAAAATGTACGTGTAATTTGTTTAAACTCTACGGTATAAGCATGCAAATATTCTAACATACGTTGAAAATTAAAATATCTGTCACTGTGACGTTATATTTGTTTGGGAAAATAAACGTCGTAGGTCATATAATCTATAAGTAGACTCGAGCCGTTTAGGTTATAGGCCGTTGAGTAACTTAGCCGTTTGGCAATATAGTGCCGTTACGACATTTAGTCATTTTCGAAATTTAATCATCGCTCGTATTGAAAAGCGAACGAAATTGACTTAAGTCGCTTTTTGCTTTTTGCAGTAGTGTAAATTTGTTTCAATTTCTAATGGTGCAGTGAAACATTCAATTTGCCAACCTACCAATATACTTCGACTTTCTTGATAATTCTTATAAACAATTATTAATTGCCAATTCTAACAATTTTTAGTTTTTTCCCTGCAAAAATGAAAAATGAGTATTGAATTGTTTAACCGTAACAACTTTTATTAGTTATTGAATAACATACTTAATATCTGAACATATAGCAGTGGACAAACGATACCGGCAGTGTATCTACGCTATTGTACGTGTCACACTGTCGCACGTGTTAACGGTCCCTGCGTTATAAAACCGTAGTATCATAACGTAGACTAAAATTGTTTACCTCCTAAATAAACGTTTACTCTCGAAAATAGAAATATTATACGGATCACCTAAACTATACGAATATTCTCGAAACGTTCGGATGGCGCAAAAAAAAAAAAATAAGTTTGCCACATTCCGAGTATGGCGGTGCAAATGCTATGTCCGTGCGGCAAATGTACGCCGCTGGTTCCCTGCAGGGACCAAAAACATAATATAATATACATATTAACTGTACGCGACCGCGTGTTCCTCACACCTCACCGTGTTTATTCGCCTGCAGGAGCACAACATACTGCGGGTCAAGGCGGGTTCAGCTGTTATAAATTTACTGTTATATATTATTATGTAATATGATGTCAATCGAAACGAAAAATGATTGATTGCCACGTCAACTCGAGTAACCCAACCCTTCCCTATATTATATAGGTACTTACCCCTTTCGGTCGGCTAACAACAATACGAACTTATTGTATAGTTATTGTCGGTGTCGATGCTGGTATACACGTAATAAATAATAATAATAATAAAAAAAAAAAAAAAAAAATCGTGTACGTATATTATAAAACGGAAGAGCGTGACGAGAGAATAACATTGACTATATAGGTACGCGCGACGTCCTTGACTTTCGTCGTTCGATAAAAAGGAAATTGATAACATATAATAATAATAATATTATTATTATTATAATTGTAAAGTCGAACGAATCGTATTGTTATCATATTGTAATCATTTTTAAAAAAAAATAACCGATATGAATAAAACGTAGTCGTCCGCTATACGCATGATAATACAAGGAGTACGCGTTAATTTTCTCCCCTCCCCCTCCCCTCGACCCGTTGGACTTTTCCACCGCGACTATATATAATATGCTGGACGGTGTGCCATCATCAGTTACCCGTCCTCTGAAAAATACGCAGACGGCACACGATATACGTGTTACGATACACATTGTATACTATAATATTTGCGTTTAAATAAACGTGTCGATGTCGTTTGTGAAAAAAAAATAAATAAAAAATGCAAATTCAACGAAAGCGTTTCAATACAAACTGCATCAGGTAGGTAGGTAGGTAGCGACTGTATAGGCAAGTACGTAGGATACCTACGTTAAATGTAAATTTATTATCATCCGGTGCGGAAATTGCGTGAGCGTTATGGAGAAAGAAAAAAAAAACGGTTTCGTTGTAAATTTATAATATAATAATGGATGTCCGGTATCGTAGTTATATACACGAATAAAATAATAATCACATGATAAATAGGTACGATAAATCATAATCGAACACTCTCGATGGTCTTTGGAATGATGCGGTGTCTTTGGAAGATATTCAAGTGGGTACCTATGTATAATAATTATCGGCTTTTAACGCGATATCGCAGCTGCGGATAATATTATTATGGTGATGTGAAAACAATTCACTTGAAACAAACACGACGGTGGAAAACGATTCAACGGGACGCGATGACGTCCGTCTTCAATCCTCATGTACTATACGGGGTATCACACGACGATAATATTATACTCGTTTTATATTGTACAATATCGCAGTATACGAGATAAGTATATCTCCGTGAGACACCCTGTATAATATCCGAACGCTTTTGAACAGAGCTCGTAGAAAAAAAAAATGTATTACAAATCTGTCGTTACAGAACCACATGTATATTATAAAATCTAGCGTGAGGGCATTACGTTAAATCTCATATCGAGTATAATACATTATTATTATCTCGCGTTGTCTATACGCGCCGCATAATATTATCGTTTTATAGCTATCGTGCGTCAACACGACACTCTCGAGACGAGATGTCGAGTTTTAAAACGCAATAATATTAATCGCCGAGTACCGCAATATAAGATAAAATTAAAACTATTAAGATTTAAGAGCAGTGGTGCAGTACGCATTATCATTGCGGTTGTCGAGTGGGCCTCCGAATGCGAGACCGAACGGTACATAATGCATTATAATGTAGAAGTATCGAAATTTATTGAAATAATATCTGTGATGTAATTTGTTAACACATCATTTGTTTACGTTCTGAACGAAGCGAGGCATTGGTATTGGTTTAATGAGATTTTTATTTTGCGCGTCTGAAAACGAATTTTCGACCAAATATCTCGTTTCAATCAACGACTTTATGATAGATTTCTTGATCTAATAATTGTGCACTGAGGAGGTAATTTTTGAATTCCCTAATGAATGGGAATACACAGCTATTGTTCGTATTATGATTGTTGATTATCTGATTACCTCGGTAACAAGGAAACAAAACGACTTGTGATACTCTGTTCAGAATCATATTTCGTTATCGTTAATGGTTGTGAATACATTAAATTACTCTATACATTCTTCCTTCCGAACTTCCCTCCAATAAAACAGTGTCACGTCGAATAGCACTATCAACCCTTTTTTTTTACGAATATATCGACATCCACGCATTTAAAACAAAAATCCCGTGGAGAAAATCACCATCATGCATACAATTGTTATGTTTAAAATGTATTTATTTTTTTTTTGATTGTTATTATTATTTTTTTACCACTATGGGGTGCGTGTTATTTGAACGCGGGAAAACTCCTTGGAAAAAAAAATGACCTGGATTCGTAAACTGTTCGATACAATATTATATTATTACAGGAACGAGAAGGGTACGATATATAATAATAATATTATAAAGACACCTAACGTATTTGACCTACTTAGCCAAAAAAAAAAAAAAAGACCGGTATAAAGGGCGAGGTCCCCGACCGTCGTTTTAAACTCAGTATGAGGGGAGGGTGTGAGGGGGTGTACGGGATTATTGATGGACCTACACCAATATTTAGGTACAATATGCGAAGCCGGTAAAAAAAAAAAAAAACTGCTATAGGAACATTCGATGACCGGTCGTCATTAGTCTTCCGGTCGGCCGACGACGGCTGCTGTCAGAAACGGAAGACCGTAACAAAAAAATCAAAAAAAAAAAAAAATCGCACGGGTAAAATAATAACACATTTTTCGCGATATACCTGACCTGCTATATTACTACATAATACTATAATACATTCGGCAATGCCAAAAGGGCGCGGACAAACGCTTTAAATGCCAAATACAACGGCCTTAAATGTCAAACGGCCCGGCCGCGCCGTCATAATGTTATCGCGAAATTACATCTACTTACCTATATACTGCAATAAAAAAACGTTTTGTAATATTGTTTATTTTTTCGCACGTTTTGGATATGATAGACACGAACGTGTTGTACGTACGATTTTTATCTTGTCATCGCACCGACACACCGAACGACGTGAGTGTACGGGCGCTGGATGGTACGAAATCCATCGTTTGATAGCGAATTTTTTTTTTTTATGGCGCTATTGTTGCGAACTATCGCATCGCGTATCGGGTTTACATCGAATGTTCACGCGGTATAATATATTATTGCGCGTGTATATTGAAATCACTACCCCGAATTTAAATGCCTTAGCAAACATAAAAGAAAGGTTGATAGGTATTGTTGCGATGGGCGTGCCACTGTTGTTTTAGGAGCGAAGTTGAACGGGAGGATATGCGAAGAGCGATTTAATTTATTTATATGCTAACGAAAAACGATTTTGAATATAGTTTATTGGTCGTATTTTTTCCTTTGTCGGCAGCCCAAAAGTCAACAAAAAGTTACAGAAAATTACAGGGGGAATAATTAGAAAATGACCACCTCAATACATCAATCAGATCGAAAATTCTGTAAAAATAAAGTTCCTATAAAGATTTTGTTTGGAGCAAAAATATATTAGTAATGGTAGATAATAGTAAAGCTTCGCTCGACATATCCAAAACGAACAGAAAACGATCTGCGAAATAGACAAAACGTCCTCGGAAAAAGAAAAACAAGAAATACAAAATATTCACTTTTGAACATTTTCGTGTGTATGCGTGCTGTTCAGCAAACGCGGGAAGCGAAATATTATTCGTTATTTATATACGCAAAAAATACACATCATTATAATACCAAATACTCACACGTTTCGATAATCACAGTCCGTATCCGTTTGTACGTAATAAAAACCTATCATCGCGTTTAGTATCAATCGCTACGCCGTGAAATCTTAAACATAACGCAGAAAATCGCCGACGGAGTCTGTTTTATAACAGAAATTCAACTGTTTGTACGCGTCAGTGAATGACTTTGTTGTAATAATGTCTATATACAGTCGTTGCGATATTAAACATAATAATATTGATTTTGCATTTTTGTGCAAAACAGATAATAATATGGGAGAGAAGTCGAGAGAACATTTTTGCTTTCCCAAATCGTATACTTTTTACATCATCGATATTATAATACGTTGAAAACGTGCTCAATCACGTCCTTTAGAAGATAATCGCTTACGAAAGCAGAAAACGCGGCTTTTTTTTTTTTTTTTTTGGATTTTCAACAAATTATAACATACAAAAACTATACAGAAGGAATAATAATATCACGATAGGTCAAATATAACTGGTAATACCTACTTATAGGTATGCCATCATGAATCATGACATTTCATTGAAATCGATTATTGAAGGTTACCTACAAGGCATAATTGGACAAGGAAAGCACGCAAGGATGGAATAATATATAATATATACTGACAATTTTTAAGGACATATGGAAATGATATGAGTCATCGAGGGTTGAACGGTTTTGAGCTTTGACGGTGAAGCATCACAGCTGAGCACTGTGCACTGCACAGTGTGTAGCCAACCGAAAAATTGAAAACCGACAGAGGAAACACATTATTATATCGTCGGCTTCCAGCAAAACCTCGCATGTAAAAAAATGTCGAATATTTTTAGATTCTGATCAGAAATTTTGTTCGAAAATTTATAGGGACTCATTCGCAAGTACTTTTTTGATCTATTCGGTGCGTCGGGAAAGTTAATTTTCGATTTTCTTTGTAGTTTTCTTAACGATCCGTTTTCGCGCCACGGTTTTTCACTTGTCCCGTACAATTTGTTAAAACCGACTTGCCGGGTTTTGCTGGGTAGCCTGCGGGCAAAAAAAAAAACGAACAGCCGCGCGAACGTTTTGTTTTTAAGTAATCGTCATATGGTGTTCGGTGGCGCGCGTCCGATCGGCTTTCGCCGCGTACGGATATCATTATTGTTATTATTATTCGAACGGGTGTACACTATATAGTATATAAATAGTCGTATTTTTAAATATTTATCGGCGGTTCCTGCGTCCGAGGACGAAAATAACGCGTCTACTATAACCGTGTGCCCGTCACGATCCGGGTTCGCGGTCCCGACCGCGGCCGTCACGAGAAATTTTTATTACCGTACGATATATTGCAGTTGTGCAGTATTGTTGCGGTGTACACATTGCAATATGATAAAATAATAATAATAATGAAATACGTATACCGCCTTGTAGCACGGTCCGCGGCAAAAGCGGACAAAAGGCGCGCGCGGTGGCGGCGATAAATCGCTGCGCAATGGTCGTCGACAGTATTCGACACGGCCGATTGGTTTCGCACAAAAACCGCAGGACACGGACCCGCAGGAAAACGCGTGGCCTTTTTTTTTTTCAACACCAAACGGCAATAATAATATCGTTTTCGACACCCTGCTAATGAACCGGCCGCCCTCGTCGTCGTCGCCGTCGTCACAATGGCAAGTCGTTAGAAAATCGGCGTACACGAGCGTACCGGCCGCGGTAATCGTTTCGACGGAAAGTAAAAATGTTTCGTTATATATATAGGGGTACACAAGACGGAGTGGCTAATTTTAGCCCGCCACCCCTCAAAAGTCCACTAATAGAATTACCGACGGAACGCTGCATATTACAGATGTGGTTATTATATAGTTCGGTGTACCGAGCGCGTTGGGAAAACGGGAATGACTGTGCGCAAGAAAAAATGAATAGGCGGAAGTAGACGGAAAACGAAAATAGAAGTTTTAATATTTGTTCGGGTCCAGTATAGTCTATATAGTAGTCGGAGGGTCCATATTGCCGCGTAAAGAAATTACAATACAACTTGATACGACCTATTGTTACAGTACGTACGGTTCAGAGACATGACGGCCAATAAGAAAAACTGACGAAAATGAACCGATCGTATACAGTGCTCTACAGAAAGTAACCCGACGGCGAACAAGTTATTTGGAAGATTGAGAACGAGGCGGGAGGAGGTAATCTAGAAGGATATGAAAGAACTTTTGGAAAAGGATTATCAAGAGTATCAGATACAGAGACGGCCGGAGTTTTGGATATCCGGTAGAAAATCCGTATTCACGAAGTCCGAGGGATAGTAATAAAAAGAATAAGCGACGTGTTACGGTCGCATCCAATAATTTGTCGACATTTATCACCGCAGACATGCGACCGAGAAACACGATGACAACGTACTCTCGTAAAATTTAAGTATACTTTTCTTTTAATATTTCGCTCTTCGTTGAGTTTTATTTTTCGGCCGTATTATTTTTACGTCCGTTTTTATATGTTTTATATTCTTTATCGTTATACAGCCGGCCGAAAAAATAACGCGTTCATTTGGTAAAACACTTCGCCGAGCACTCAGGCACTCTATATGATTACATACTATTATTGGGCTAGATAACCGTGGTACCTTACGCGATTACGACGGCCGAGTCGTGTTGTTTTTTTTTTTATAATAATATATAAATTGTATTATACTTGTACTATTGCAGTACATTTCATTTGTTGCTCGTTTACAAAATACACGCGACGAAATCATATTTCACCCGTGTCGTCTAATCAGTCTCCCGAAAAGTCCGTAACTTTTAGATTCTAATGTGTGTGTGTGTTTTTTTATTTTTTTTTTTTCGCGTTAACTTGTATATAAATTTTATACCAAAAATCTCAACTTGATCGAAAACCTTATAGAAGCATTCTTGTACAGCGTTTTCGATCTAGTTGATGTATCAAGGAGGTTATTTTTTTGATTTTCCTTATAGTTTTCCGAATAGACGGCAGTTGTTCGTATTTTTTGTGTAGTTTTCTACGTGACCTCGGAAACAAGCGGTGGAAAATATGATTAATTACATCCGGCTCAGAATCGTTTTTTCGTTAGCGGCGGTTAATATCGTTGCGTACAGTTATAAATTAAGTTTACTCTCTCTTTATGTATATATATTATACACCATTATCCTCCTTTCCAAGTTTCGTCCTAAAATAGATAGTCACGCCTATCAACAGTATTTTTGAAATTTTTCTTCTCTGCAACGTAATAATATTATGTATAACGACGTGTCGACAGATGAACCGGATCGGCCAAATTTTCACGATAAACGTTCGAAAAATATTTGTTTAGTCGCTTCTATAGACGGCCGTCTATTTTCAGGGTTATATTTGATTTTTGGCCAGACATCGTTTTTATAAGATCAGCCGTTATCTGACGTGACTACACTGGCCGACACTAATATCTTTGCCAAAATACTCGGACGAACCCAATGCCTGCATTTTTTCAGGCGGCCTTTTTGTTTCCGAACTCGAAATAAACGTAACTATAGACTCCATTGTTATGTAATATTTAACGTTAGATAAAAAAAAAAATTGCAAATCGTAAACGTTCGCGACATTGGTCAATGTTAACGCGATCGGGTTTCGGTATTTTCAAAATTAAATTTTAACCTCGTATACATAAAAAAAAAAAAAAAAAAAAATTGTACAATAAATATAATACGACGTTAGCGCAGAATGTTTGCGATTTTCGAAAACGGGTGATTTAGCTACTGTCTTATACGTATATAGAGAGTGAAAAAAACTAGAGTCGTCGTCGGGGTAAAAAGAAAGTCGTAATATTATTTTCACAGACTGTGCTCGGCGCGCCGACGACTTTCGATCATTTCTGTTTTTATTATTATTATTTTTTTTACCGTGCCCGACAGCGGCGTTTTTCGAAATGTTATAAAAATCACGCGGCCGCGATAATATTCCGATATCGCGTTCGAAACTGTACAGGTATCAAGATCGAGATATGTCGATAGGTGTGTCACCGTTTTAGGAGGGGAGTTGTTAAAGATGATATATACGTGTGTAGATCGATTCAATTTATATTATCACTTGACTTTAAACAACTGCGAACGGAAAACGATTCTGAGCGGGACAATAGTTGCCAATAGGTAATATTCAGAAATCAATACAAATATTACAAACAATTACCAGTTTTTCCCGTTTATAAGACATTCACGATATAAAATCAATAAACGACCTGTTCCAACGCAACAAATAGATCAAAACTGCCATAATAATAATGTTCGTTTAAAGTTTTTGAGCGGATTTCCCGACCCAAGCCATCTTTTTTTGCGAAAAAACATATGATACTACTTATATCGATTATTACAGACACATACAAGTATGTAGTTAGAGGTATCTATATACTATCTATACTATGAAGTGTAAACAAATTATAAAATATGAAACATGCTTTTCGTTATACAGTTTTCTGAAAAATATGACTTAGTTTGCCCCCTCCCTTCCCCTAATCAAGTCTCGGGAGCCGATAATCAAGATTTTTGGCAGAAAAGTCGTTTACTGCAGACACACACGCATACATACAAAAAATAAAACTAGAAAATATCAAATACATACCTCAAAAATCGCCAGAATGTTTTAAACATTTTACTGAGTCTAGAGTGGACTAATATATTAATTTTTTAATAATGTGTCCGGTTTCTATGCTCATTTTTACACATCATGGGATTTTTAAACCGAATTACAAATAAGTAAATATAAAATCGACATTAATAAAATCGTTATTTACCGCTGTAAACTTTTTTGTTTTTCAGTTTTTCCGGTTATTCCGGAAACTACGAGAAAAAAAAAACTTTCTCAACGCACCGACTGAATCCGAAATAGCCACGAAAAACTTTGCTTGTCGTTTTTTTTAACGCCCGTCGCAAAATTTCTGTTTAAAAAGTCATTTACATTCAAGAAAAAATAAACAAAAGAAAATAAAAACACATCTTATAGTAACACAATACATTCCTCATCGCTTCGCTCAGACCTAAAACGAAACAATAAATAGACGTTTTTTTAAGACCATTGAAATTTTTAACACCACGTGTGCGATTACTACACGTATACGCCGCTATTTAATATTCATTTTTATGAATCGTCGTAAAAAAAAAAAAAAATAAGTTATTTGTTTTCTGTATTTCTCGTATTATAATATTTATATACGTGGTGCATGTCGATAGATTTTTATAACCAAAAATACCTACGCTGCAGTTATT